TCAGCTCTGCCCAGAGCCAGCTCCTCTGGAGGGAGAGTTCTGGATCAAGATCCAATCCATGTCCTCACTGTGGCTCCCTCCTCTGGAAGGTACAGGCAGTGCAGTTCCTTGGGGCATCCCTGACTCAACCCATCCCCTTGAGATCTGGCTCCCCTGCTTGGGTCACTGTGATCCATTCCTTCTTGGCCTCTTGGCTGGCAGGATCTTTCTTCTGTCTCGTCACCACCTGCCTGCCCTCCTAGGTTCGAGGGATTGATTCTCCTGCGTCAGCCTCTAGAGTAGCTGGGATTACAGGTACCTGCCACCATGCCTGGCTAATTTTTGTATTTTTAGTAGAGACAGGGTTTCACCACGTTGGCCAGGCTGGTCTCGAATTCCTGACCTCAGGTGATCTGCCCTCCCTGGCCTCCCAATGTGCTGGGATTACAGCCATAAGCCACCACGTCCTGCCTGGTTTCTTTATTTTTATTTTTATTGGAGGGCAGTCAGAACCTGGAAGAGAGGGTCTGTTCCACCCAAACACTGTCAGAGCAAGAGACAGCGCCACGGGCCCATTGAATGCACTACTCCCTTGGCTTATGGCTAAGATAAAGCCAGCTCTGTTGCCTGTGTGTGCTGGTAGATGGTCCTGGACCTACAAGGGGTGGGGAGGGAGGGGGAATTGAGCACTGATGCAGGAGAAGAAAAACTGCCTGCCTGCCATTCTTCAACCTTGACGCTCTGTGTTCATGGAGTGGGGGGGAAGGAGATTAGGAAAATAATAATAACCAACAGGAGAGTACCTGTGAGTCCTCCCATGGACCAGGCACCATATTAAAACCTCACAACAGTGCTCTTAGGAGGTCACAGCCATTGCCATTTCCAACCTACAGATGAAGGTTTAAAAAACTGGGATTTAGAGGCTGAGCAACCTGCTGCAAAGCTGAATGTGCCTCTCCAATCAAGGTCTGCGCTCCTCAGCAGGACGCTGGAGGAAAAGGAGGAGAGGAAGGAAGAAATGTTCTTTCTCCTGGGCAGTGGCCCAGGGCTGCTCTGCGTGGAGGAAACAAGGTTACTATTCAGGAGGCTGAAGTGGGGAGTTTGAGGCCAGCCTGGGCAACATAGCAAGACCCTGTCTCAATATAAACAAATTAAAATACATTTTAAAATAAAATAAAAAAGACTGGGCACGGTGACTCATGCTGGTAATCCCGGCACTTTGGGAGGCCAAGGTGAGGGGATCACCGGAGGTCAAGAGTTTGAGACCAGCCTGGTCAACATGGCAAAACCCCATCTCTACTAAAAATACAAAAATTAGCCGGGTGTGGTGGTGTACACCTGCAATACCAGCTACTTGGGAGGCTGAGGCAGGAGAATCACTTGAACCCGGGAGGCAGAGGTTACAATGAGCTGAGATTGCACCACTGCACTCCAGCCTGGGCGACAGAGCAAGACTCTGTCTCAAAATAATAATAATAAATAAAATAAAATAAAATATAAAGAAGCAAGATTAAATACTCAAAAGAGAAATCAACTTGACCCTTTCCTCTCACCCTCACTTTTCCCAACTTGAGACCAGGCATAATCTCCTACCCTAAGCTTCATTCTCCAACATGAAGAGAAGCTGTGGACAGAGAAGGAAGGCAGAGGACGAATATACTGTTGGAGTTGTCAGCACCAGGAACAGGAGAAGAGGGGATGACTGAGAGGCCCCTCCAGGCTCCAACGTGTAGCACCAGCCTTGGAGGGCTATCATGGGCTACCTTGTCTCCCTTCTCCAGGGAGCCAGCAGGGGCAGGGCCACATGGGGAAGGAGGGAGGGGGCCATATGTGGGACCCCTGTCATGGTCAGAACCACAGGATGACTCAGCAATGGGAGCAGCCAGCTCTGAGAAGTTGGAGGGCTGAGGGCTGTGAGAGGCAGGCAGGGTTAGAAATACACAAAGGTCATCAGGCTCAGACCCCAGGAACTAAGGCAGGAGTTACTTTCCTAAAACAAGTTAGTGTCTGGAAGTCAAAGACGAGGGAGTGGAAGGCCAGGCACAGTGGCTCACACCTATATAATATAATCTCAGCACTCTGGGAAGCTGAGGTGGGAGGATCACTGGAGGTCAAGAGTTCGAGGCCAGCCTGGCCAACACGGTGAAACCCTGTTTCTACTAAAAATACAAAAATTAGCTGGGCATGATGGCGGACGCCTGTAATCCCAGCCGCATGGGAGGCTGAGGCAGAAGAATCACTTGAACTCGGGAGGCAGAGGCTTCAGTGAGCCAAGACCACACCACTGTACTGTAGCCTAGGTGACAGAGTGAGAATCTGTCTCAAAAAAAAAAAAAAAAAAAAAAGGCCAGGCGCGGTGGCTCATGCCTATAATCCCAGCACTTTGGGAGGCCAAGGCAGGTGGATCATGAGGTCAGGAGTTTCTAAGACCAGCCTAGCCAAGATGGTGAAACCCTGCGACTACTAAAAATACAAGAAAATTACAGGCAGACACCTGTAATCCCAGCTACTCAGGAGGCTGAGGCCAAAGAATTGCTTGAACCCAGGAGGTGGAGGTTGCAGTGAGCCAAGATTGCACCAGTTTGCTTTCTTATATGTTTTGGCAGTCCTGGGAATAATTAACCCTCAAGAAGCCAAGTCTTGGCCAGGCATGATGGCTCACATCTATAATACCAACACTTTGGGAGGCCAAATCATGAGGATCACTTGAGGCCAGGAGTTCAAGATTAGCCGGGGCAACATAGCAAGACCTACAAAAAATAAAAAGCCAACCATGATGGCATACATCTGTAGTCCTAGCTAACTGGGAGGCTGAGGTGGAAGATTACTTGAGCCCAGGAGTTCGAGGCTGCAGTGAGCTATGATCGCACCACTGCATTCCACTGTGGGTGAGAGACTGAGATTGCCTCAATCAATCAATCAATAAAAAACAAGCCAAGCCTGGGAAGCTGAGGCAGGAGAATGGCGTGAATCTGGGAGGCGGAGCTTGCAGTGAGCTGAGATCGTGCCACTGCACTCCAGCCTGGGCGACAAAGCAAGACTCTGTCTCAAAAAAAAAAAAAAAAAAAAAAAAAAAAGTCAAGCCTCTGATCTTTATTTAGAAAGTGAAAAACTTACTGAATAATGCTTCAACAAACAAAACAATATTTTAAATGCTTACACTTAAAAAAAAAAGCTTGCACTTTGCAAATGTGGGCTCTAAAAGTTGACTATGCTTAGTTAAAATGGGTATGTCATGAGGAGTTTAAGGAACTTCGTAAGCCCTGGAAAAGCTTCAAAGAGTTCCCAGAATGCATAAAACCCTCAGCTGAGAAGAAAACAGCTTTTTTTCCTGTGACTTTGAACAAGTCCCTCAAATCTCAGGCGCCCAGTCTATAGGCACTGCCTGGGCAGTATTACGTCATTACACCCATCTTTTATTTTTCACTGTCTCCCTTCTGCCTTTCTCTCGCGCGCACACTCCTTCTGTGGATTTGTAAGGCTAAGCCTCTCTTCTCTCTTTCCCACTTGCCTGAACTTTAGGCCTCTTTGCTGTCCCGCAGGACCATGGCTCCCAGTCCTTCTGGAAGTCACTAAGCTAAAGACGAGGATGGCCATCCTCTGGTGTGGAGATGGACCTGAAGCCTGCTCCCACCGCGCGCAAATCACCCCGCCAGGCCCCCCTCACTGTCACCAGGGCACTCCTCTGCTCAAAAACGTTCCGTCCCCCACTTGAAATCTGGCCAAGCCTACCTAACAGACCGGATTCACCACTAGTCCTCACTCGGCTGTTTCTGAAATGCCTAGCCTCCGCTTCTGGCCTCCGCTGGTGCTCTTCTCTCCACTCAGAACCCTTTCCTTTCCCCCACTTTCTTCCACCTATGCAAATACTATTAAGTGTTCCCGGCCCGGTCAAAGCTCCAGGGAACTTCCTCGAAGGCCCCAGCCCGTATTCCAGACCGTCTTCCCGCGCCCACGGCATTTCCCTGCAGACTTCTGCTTGGCAGCCCGCATCCTGCAGTCTGTGTCCCTTGACGGTGTCCTGCGTGAGTGCGGGCAGCGGGTCTATGAAGTCACTTCTCTTGGAAGCTTTTCCTGACCTCCTCCCTTCCCGCCCGGTCTGGGAGACCTTCTGCAGGGCGCTTGGCCCTGGGCCCTCCCCGGCCTCCATCACCCTCATCGCCCGTCTCATGACTGTCATTACCCCTGCCCGACGGCAAGCTGCCTGGGGCAAGGGCGGTGCCTGACTTACTGCCCGGGGTGCCCCCGACCCGGGCCCAGTGCCAAGAGTGTGTTAACCGCCTGGAGTGAGCGGGGCCGGGCATGTGGCCGCCGTTCCCTTGGCTTGGACGTCCAGCTCTCAGCCCCGGGCCGGGAGCATCTCGCGAATCCGCCCGGGCCCGGGTGGAAGGGAGCCGGCGCGCGGCGGGCGTCCTCCCAGGAAGGGTTAAGCCACCTCTCCCCCACCCCGAGAGGCGAGGGGGCGAGTCCGGCAGAAAGTCCTGTTTACCGCTGCTCCGCGCGGGGCCGGGCCCTGGGAGAGGGGTTGCCGTGGCAACCGGCCTGGCGCCCGCCAGCTGCGGATTAGCTCACTGGGCCGGGAGGGATGGGTCGGGAGGAGGGGGCGCGCGTCGCGCAGATCGTCGCGGAGCCGCGGGAAGAGAAGGCAGGGGCAGCGGGCGAGCCTGCGCTGGGCCGGCCGAGGGAGGGAAGCGAGCCGCTGGGGCCGGGGGCGGCGGGGACCCCACGGGAGCGCGCGCGGCGGGGACCCCCAGGGGCTTGCGGGCGGCCGGGGGAGGCTCGGCGGACAAAGGGGCGGAGGGCGGAGAGCCATGGCCTCCCCGGCCCCCGCCGCCGCCCGCCCCCGAGCCGTGCCGCCAGCCGTCCTGGCCCGCCCCGGAGCCCCCCAGATAAGCCCCAGAGCCCGCGGAGCCGCCGCCCGCGGGAAGGTAGGGCCGGGCCGGGTCCGGGGGTGCAGGGTCGAGCTGGGGAGGGAAAGGGAACGGAGGAGGGGACGCGCGGGGGAGGGAGGAAACGGCTCGCGCGACCCGAGCCCTGACGGGGGAAGTGGCTCTGCAGACGGGAGTCTGAGTTCCCGCCTGGTCCCGGGACTTGTGCAGAGCGCGATCCAGGCGTCCCTTCCGGGCTCTGGCTGACTCCCAGGGCTGAGCCCGGACGCCGCCGTCCCGCGCGCCTCGGGGACCTGCAGAAAGCCTGCAGACCCCCGCCCTGCGTTGTGCTGGGTCCCTCGGGGCGCGAGTGCGAGTGTGAGTGTGTGCGCGTGTGTCCGCGCGTGTTTGTGTCTGTGTGTGTGTGTGTGTACGCGCGCTTGTCTGTGTGTGTGCGCGCGGGTCTGTGTGTGTGTGTGCGAGTGTGTGCGCGCGCTTGTGTGTCTGTGTGTGCCAGTGTGTGTGAGTGTGTGCGTGCGCGTGCAAGCGCAGGGCATCGAGGCGGCTGAGCAGCTGGGCTCCCCTCACCGCGGTCAGCATTTGCAGTCTTGGGAAAGCAAGAAGGTAAAGATGATTGAATGGTCTTACTTCTTCCACTTTGTCCCCAAGGGTGGAGTTGGGAGCAGATGGAGCCCAGGGGAAGTCTGGACACAGTCGTATTAGGAGGGTCACAGAGAGCTGGGTGAGACCACGGAGCAAAGTCAGACCTCAGCCGTGGAATCTTGTTATGGGGGGCCTGGGACAGGAAGCAGGAAGCTGGTCAGGGCTCTCCAGGGGCGTAAATTGGGCAAGGGAAGTGCAGTGACCCTGCCTTAACCAGCTGGTGCTGACTTCCAGCTGCTGTTCAGATGCAATTCAGGAATGTCACTTCCCCAAGGTTCCAAATGACATCGGACAGTAATGGGCTGGGGGTAACAGAGTTGTAATAGGCGTGCTACAGTAATCTTGTTAGTAAACTCTTACACACTCTGCGGTTACCACATAAAAGAAGAGAAAGAAATCCCTTCTCCTTACATCATCAAATATCAGATACCAAAAGAGTGGAGTAGAAAGTCTTTGGGTGGGCAGTGTGGGAGGGAGCAGAACTCTGAGAGGAAGTGTGTGTGAGTGTGTGTGTGTGTCAGAGACGGTTTCTGAGGCCTGGTAATGAAAAGGCTGGCGGGAGGCTGGCCTCCAGTCCTTTTGTTTGTTTTTTATTTTTATTTTTTTGAGTCAGAGTCTTGCTCTGTCACCCAGGCTGGAGTGCAGTGGCCCGGTCTCAGCCCACTGCAACCTCCGCCCCCTGGGTTCAAGCAATTCTCCTGTCTCAGCTTCTTGAGTAGCTGGGATTACAGGCGCCCACCACCACGTCCAGCTAATTTTTGTATTTTTAGTAGAGACGGAGTTTCACCATGTTGGCCAGGCTGGTCTCAAACTCCTGACCCCGGGTGATCTGCCCGCCTTGGCCTCACAAAGTGCTGGGATTACAGGCATGAGCCATTGTGCCTGGCCTCCAGTCCTTTCATTCTGGAAGATTAATAAAATTGTGTGTTAAGTATTCTATTCATCCCCTTAAACAGCTCTGTGTGCAAGGCATGCATGCTAGACATCGGTGGCACAGCGAGGAATGAGACGTCCCCCTTCCTTCGAGGAACACCATCCTAGCTGGGTAGTCAAACAAAAAAGTAAAACCAGTCCTGGCCCAGCCTGGCTGTGAGGGTTGCATGGCGTAGAGCTAGGGCAGCCCAGAGAGGAGTCGCTGCAGGGAAGCCCCACAGATAGGTGATGCTTGGGCTAAGCCCTGAAAACCACCTCACCAAGGAAACAGCAGGGAAGGTTGTTTCAGGCTGAAAGGACAGAATGTACAAAGTCACCAAGAGGGTCTAGGAGAGGCCAGTGAGGGGAATTCAGTGTGGCTGCGGGTTGCAGGATGTGAGTGTGTGCTAGGGAGAGGTGAGGCGGGGGCTGTCAGGGCAGAGGCACAGGGAAGGAAGGATCCGCCAGAAGGAGGCAGGAGTATGCACTGAAGCAAGAGTGATGCGCTCCTTCTGGTTGTTGGTTGGGGGAGGCCTGGAGGAGGAGGAAGAGACCAAGACTTTTTGCAACACCCAGGCCAGAATTACTGAGGAGCAGGAGAAGCTGAAAGGATGCCAGGATCAAGAGGCAGGACCTGATGACTGGTTTGGGCAGAGTGTGATAACTTAGACTAAAAGCAAGTATATACAGAAATGCTCAGGAGAAAACAAAGCAAAGCAAAAGGAATGTGGACCTTCGGAGTGGCCTGCATTTAGCAGATTACAACACTTGGATAACGCATTTGGCTGTAAGTTTTCTGGCAGCTTAGGGACAAACAAAAATACACTGGGTTGCATAGTTTGGGATTTTGGACAACAGAAACCATACAAATTAATTCTCAGAACAAAACTTTTCCTGGAATTGAACTCAGCTGGGAATTTATCATGTGGAACTTTATGTAAAGACTGAAGAGTGACGTAGAAAAAAAAATCCTCATTGCTGGTGTTACAAAAGATGGGAAGATAAAACTCCCCATTACTGCCTTCCTCTGCCATCCTGTTATGTCTAGAGGAGTGAACTGCACTTCTGTGAGGACTGGGTGTCATCTCAGGGTATGGGGCCAGGGGAATCCTATACAGAGGACACAGTGGTACGTCAAGTGCAGGAAGAGCTGACGCCCATCTCCATGAATGTAGAGAGCAAGGCGTCTGGGGTGCTCAACCATGAAGGGAAGGAGGCTCATCATAGTATAGCCCAGAGAGGGGTGGGCTGAGACTCTGGTCTGCAGAAGGGGACAGGTAGGGCATAGCATGTTGGAAGGGCCAGCATCCAGGAATCCTGGCCCCCGGGGAAACAGGCAGGGAGAGTGCACACAGCATTGTAGGATTCCATTCATATGGGCAAGTCCACTTCCCAGGGCAGTCCTGGTCATTCTGCCTCCAGACTTGATGTAGATCCTGCCTCTAAAGGGGTAGGAAAAGGGTGGGACTCAGGAGACCAGAGATCCTCTTCAGGAGACCAGAGAGGCCCAGGAGGGTGGAAATCTTGTTTGCTACAACATAAGGAACTTGCAGAGAAACCGGGAGTGGGAGCTGAGAACTGTGAGGTCCTGCAGACTCAGGCACAGATTTCCTGGCCAGGCTCTTCTCTTTGGTTTCTGCAGAAGGCAGAGAACCTGCAGAATCTATGTCCATACATTGCTAATATACCCTGTGAACTTTAAACTATTTCTTGCCAACTATAGCTGTCTTAAAATTAACATTCAGTAGGGGTAGGATTCTACCCCTCCAATTAAATTTCTTAACATTTTTAATCTTGGGTTGTGCATTAGAATATACATTTAAATGCTAGGGAGGAGAGTTTGAGACCAGCCTGAGCAACGTGGCAAGACCCCATCTCTATAAAAAATAAAAGAAATTGGCCAGGTGCAGTGGCCCACGCCTGTAATCCCAACACTTTGGGAGGCTGAGGCAGGCAGATCACTGGAGATCAGGAGTTTGAGACCAGCCTGGCCAACCCCATCTCTACTAAAAATACAAAAATTAGCCAGTCGTGGTGGCACATGCCTGTAATCCCAGCTACTTGGGAGGCTGAGGCAGGAGAATCGCTTGAATCCAGGAGGCGGAGGTTGTGTGAGCCAAGATTGCATCACTACATTCCAGCCTGGGCGACAAAGCAAGACTCCATCTCAAAAATAAATAAATAAAAGAAATTAACTACACACGGTGGCACATACCTGTAGTCCCAGCTACTCGGAAGACTGAGGCGGGAGGATCACTTGAGCCCAGGGAGGTTGAGGCTACAGTGAGCATGATTGTGCCACTTCACTCTAGCTTAGGCGACAGTGAGGCCCTATGTCTGGGGAAAAAAAAAAAAAAAAAAAGGCTGGGGAGGCAGATTTAAAAACAACTGATACTTAGGTCAATTAAAATCTCTGAGAGTAGGCCCTGGCATCAGTATTTTTTTTAAGATCCCCAGATGATTTTATGATACAGCTGAGGTTGAGACTGGCTGCTCTAACACTCACTTATAGAGAGCCCATCACAGGGCGGGATAGAAACTCAGATTCCAAAAGATCCTGGGTGGGGCACATGGGATGCCTCGCAGGTCCTCAAAAGTGGACAAGGCTGGCCTTGCTTGTTCCGCACAGTCTCCTGGACTCCTGGTCTCGCTGCTTCTCCCCCAAGGTCTGTCTTTACCAGCCCTCTGTTCCTTCTGGCAGTCACCTTGCTGAAGACTGGGGGTTAGGAGTTGCTTCCCTGGAGCTGCCCTGGATTGCTCTTTCTTGGAGAGATTTTAGTGAGACTGGTTTTCCACGGGTTCACTGTGTAGCCCGCTTCGGGCCGTGACTCCTCACTGTCCTCATCACTGCCTCTCTGCCCACACGCATTGTTGCTTGTTACCCCAGGAGCCTGGCCCTGGGCACTGGCTGTCAGCTTCGTGTGTCCAAGCATAAACCCTTCTTCTGCCACCTGAACCAGATGGCCTCCACTTATACCCCAGACTCTCTTGAAATTCCCTGTGCTGGTTACTCAGGGGGAAGAGCGCCAGGTCCTGCTGCCCCTTTTAGTGATAGGAGGCAAGCACTTCCTGGAACTAGGGCAAGCGATGAGCTAAGTTCTCTACTTTTCATATGCAAAAGACAGCGACATGCTTGGAAGCCGGAGTCAGACTCTCCTTTACTCTGGCCTTAAAATCAATGGCTGACGTGGGCAAAAGTTTATTCCGTCAGCCCTCTGTTTGCCAGCTGGGCCTAGAATTGCCACTCTAGCTTCAGCTGCTCTTTGGCACGTTCGTCCCTGGCTTGCAGTTCAGAGGGGCTAAAGAACAGATAAGCCCGAGACCCACTCTTCCAACTGGTTGAAATACGGGAAACCAAGTGATCGTTTTTTCCCCTGGTCTTGGGGAAGGAAGGGGTGAGTCACCCTTGCAGCAAGCTTAGGGAAGAGGTTAGCTTCCCTCAGTGGAAGGAACCAGGAGGTCATAGGCATCCCTTCAGAAGGAAATGAAAGCAGGGATCATTGGCTGGAGAGTGGGGCCAGTACAGGGAGCCGTGACCTTGGCTGTGACCCCTCCTCCCAGGATCCCCAGGCCTTCCACACACTGCGGATCTTATCTGAAGGGCTTGTCAGACCACTTCAAGCAGAGTGCCAAATGCATTTCCTTTTGTTGTTTTGTCTTCTAAAAAAGTACACTTAAAAATTGTAGGTTTACTTATAAACTTTATATGTAATATATGAAAGTTATATTTGTCATAAAACATTTATTTATTTATTATTTATTTATTTTTAGACAGGGTCTTGCTCTGTTACCCAGGCTAGAGTGCAGTGATGTAATGATGGCTCACTGCAGCTTCCACCTCCTGGGCTCAAGTGATCCTGCTGCCTTAGCCTCTTGAGTAGCTGGGACTATAGGTGCGCACCACCGTACCTGGCTAATTTTTGTATTTTTAGGAGAGACAGAGTTTCCCCATGTTGCCCAGGCTGTTCTCAAACTCCTGGACTTAAGCAATCCACCTGCCTTGGCCTTCCGAAGTGCTGGGACTACAGGCATGAGCCACTGCACTTGGT